TGAATATAGGAATTGTTGTGTTTCCGTGACCTTAGAATGAGCCGTTATAATCTACAGAGGGAGCGGGTCCTCTTCTACGGAGTCGCTCATGTTCTTACACACCGGTCCTTTAACACAGTCACAGTGATATATAGCAAGCCTGGGGAGTAATGGATTACATGTAACAGCAGTCGTAGTCAGGATAACAAAAAAAAGAAAGAAAGGTAACTGTACTCTGTTATAGTGATAGAATCAGATTACAGTTACATTTAGTAAAAATGGAGATTGTTAGCATGACTATAATGCACAGTGCAACACATTAAAACACTGTGTGGTCTGAAGTTAAACTATAACCTATATAACCTATAACTATAATATAATCTCACAGCTGCCAATATGTTGTCATGGTCTCTAGTGAAAAAATACTTTCACTGGGTGGAAATTTCACCATTATTTTAATATTTAAAAATAAACATGAAAATATGTATTTTATTAAGATATTTGGAATAAGTTATTGACTACATTTTTTTAACAGATACATAGTCATTGTATCGGATTATATTTTTAAAGCTGATATATACATATATATATAACATAATCATTGTATGAGCACAGAACATCTGGATAGACGCTGTAAAAGCTACACACAATGAACTTCTGATAAATAAATATTACTTAAAGTTATACAATTTCATCCTGGGAGGGACATAAATCTGTCTGTATCTGTATATTTGGACACGGAGACGCCGTGCACTTATAACAAACAATAAACATACAGTACAATGATGGTTCATGTCCATCTTGATTATTACATTTATAATCAGCAGTGCAGAGCTCAGGAATGCAACAGTAGTTCACATATGCAGTGCACATGCCAGGCAGCAGAGGAGTGCCTGTGCAGTTCACTAACATCTGGACAGCTGTGTGCAGCAGGTTTAAAAGTTCATGTGTCTCCAGAGAGTCTACGCTGGCCTTAGATATTTTAATATAACATATAAAATAGTCCTCCAAGGGGCCTCTCTCACTTCCCTCTCTTAGCACCTTCAGTTTGTTGCACCTTGAATGCGTCTCTTTACATATTTTACTGGACCACGACTGATAAAGTGGGCGGGACGATACACTAGCTTATATCAGTCTATACTGGAGTCAGCTCATAGTATGTCTGCTAACAGGTAACCAGAAACTGCAGTAAGAAATGTCAAAGATTTGTTTTGAGACAGTTTAAAAACAATGTTTCTGTTACATAGTTCGTCCACCAGAGGGCGCTGGTCTGTATTAAAACTGTAAAATGTGCTGCTCAGGAGAGATTTAAGTCTTTAATTACCAAATTTAAGCAAATCCTTATAAAAAATTATCATATTGTGTGTTGATATTATTAATAATATCAAATAATAAAAAACAAATTTTATGAGATATTTTAAACTCAAATGTCAGAATTGACCTAAAAAATCCAGTATAAACTGTGATTTTTACTACAGAAACCCAGTGTGAGCGCTCACATCTGAACTGGTTTTGAGCTGCACATGATGAAGAAGTGGCTATTGTCATGCTTTTTGTCTTGTGACACTTTAAACAGAAAATGTCTACTCATGACTTATAATCACGAGTTTACTGGATTGTTTAAAGTAAATTGTTTAAGGCCCGAAAATGAGGAAACTCTTTTCACAAAAAAAGGCTTAAAAGATTTAAGAAAAGTACCAAAAAAAAGAAGAAACATGTTGTTTTGTTTGAGTAAAAGTTTAACTTCATGAGGACAAATTCACCACTGAAACTTAAAAGCTGCAATACTGAACAATTACAACTAGATGTCCCTCTACATCAACATTTAACCGACACACAGCTTTCTCTCCGTCCTTCCTGCACACACATAAACACGTGCACACACACAGGCACACAAAAAAAAACTCTCTTACAAAAAATTACCCAGCTCCTTCCAGCCAATCGGGACTTTATTCTGTATTTAGGTCTACAACATCTCTTCTCTCCCGTTATTGAGGCATGTAGGCCTCACGCGTTGGACCACACCGACAGGGGGCGCTGTTCCTGTGAGAGGGGGGCTGCCTGTCTCAGCATGAGTCTGGTCTTCTTACTACACACAGAGCAAAAGGGGGATTATGTAATGTTTACTATTATGGCGCTGTATCTTTTTTTGCAAAGCACTGTGGGTTCTTTCCTTCCACCTCCTCCTGCTATGTAGAGGTTAAAGGTCACAAGGCGAAAATTAAAGTGGCCACACGTGCAACAGGATGCCCGTCTCACGCGCATCTCGAGACATCTCCTCGAGGCTCACCGGGCAGCACACCGGTTCGTCTCCGCCGCCGCCTGCGAGCCACAAACACGGGGTTAGCCGAGTTTACGCCAGGCCACGCCCCCTCGGTCCAGCTGGTGGCAACACTCTCGATGACATCACCGCCGGGCGCGCCCATTGGCCCCGAGACGCCGCGCGCCTGCCCAATCGCCTGCCGGTGAAGTGACGTCAGCCGAGAGCGGTCCCCGTTCACTTTCACGGGAGTGGGCGGGGCGCCGGGGCCGCCGACGTCAGAGCCAGCGGGATGCGGCGCGCTGATTGGCCGAGCGCGGTGAAAGTGAGCGTCTGTTGCTGAGAGAAAAAAGGGGGAGAGAGGGGGGGAGAGAGAGTTTGCGAGGGGGCACCGATGCGTCTGATGCGCCACAACAACAGTTACCAAGCTCCGGCACAAACTTTTTAAACACCCTTAGCTCATTTCTCCCCCCCCACCGCCACCAGTGTCAGTGTTTTCACTCTGTTTTGGGGCAAAATAAAAACTAAACAACGACTTAAAATGTAACCTAGCAACAGTTTGGAGGCAGGGCCACAGAGCAGCCGCAGTGTGGTGCTTTAATCCCGCTGCAGCAGCTTCCTATGTGCACAAGCAGAGGGGCTGATGCATTATCACCGTCTGCTCAGGGACGGCACTTGTGCTGTCAATTATGGTAAACATACTCCTCTTCAGAAGGGGAGGGGGCGTTTGTGCCTTTCTATTGGCTCTCGGTGTTTTGCTCCCTCCCCTCGACCCTCCCTCATGCTGTTCCTATGGTTCCCAAAGCTCTTATTGGATACTGTAAAGTTTGGGACAGGACACCGGTCTGGCTCAGCAGCCCCGCCGCCATTGGCTGGATCCCCCCGTCCGTCAACCGGACTTTGACAGCCCGCCACGCCCACTTGTCTCTGGCGCCGGCGCTGATTGGCTACTGTACCTGTCAGCGACCTGTGATTGGTCCGCTCGCCCAGCTGTTAGTGGTTCATTCACCATTTTGTGACTGTAGTGGAAAAGAAGACCGATAGTTTTTTATATCCCCGTTAGAGTTTCTGCGGGGGAAAGACATGTTTTGCGGAGGAAAAGTAAAGTGTGAGCGCGGACCGCACAGTCGCCAGAGCCGACAGCCAAGGGATGTTACCGAGAGTTACGCGAGCCTCCTCATCAGCAAAATAACCCCATAAATCTTTCTCTGGCCGAAGGGGGGACGAGAGCTCTGTTTTGGGTGAGTTGAAACTAAAGTTAGCGAGAGGCAGCGACGCTCAACTGACGCCGATTTTCCGTTTTCAGGAGCGGCGAGTTAGCACGAGACGAGAACCAACTGCCAACGGTCGGCCGTTGGTTCCGATAACGTCCGAAGAAAACCGGAGGGGGAGAGAGAGAGAGACAACCGCTTGTGAGCCGAGAGAAAGGGGAGGGTGGCGGTGGTGGGGGGGTGTAACAAGCCTAAAAACTTTTCTCAAATGTTTTACCGCAGTCCCACGGACGACCGGGAGACACCGGAGCTTTCTGCTACGATATTTCTGCTTCATTTTGACTACTTTTCCTCGACCTTAGTTGTCGAGTTTGTGTTGCGTGGAGCAGCTCTAGCGTAGTAAAAAAAAAA